TATATGCACATCTACGAGACCCTCCTCCGCGACGAGTGCGGCTACACCGGTTCGATTCCGTACGCTGCCCCCATACCCTCGATACCCTCAACATCCCCTGGTAAAACACGACGCTAACATGACCCACCCCAAAGCTACTGGAACGAACAACTCGACGCCGACAGCGGCAACATGTTCCAGTCCACAATGTGGGGCGCCGACGCCTTCGGAGGCAACGGCACTGGATCGGGCTCCTGCGTGACCGACGGCCGCTTCGCCAACATGACCCTGCACATCGGGCCCGGCGATGAGGACACGGACTACTGCCTGCGACGCGCGTGGGACAACGAGGCCGCCATCGCCAACGCCAACAGCACCGCGCTGAACGCGTGTAACGCGTACACCACCTACTCGCCGTGGTGGGACTGCGTCTCCAACATCCCGCACAAGGGAGTCCATACGAATATCGGCGGTGTGGTATGTTTTTTGCCCTGTTACCCCCATTGCTGTGCATTCCATTCGAGAGTGAGGATTCCTGCTAATAGGGAGTGTAGATGGCCGACATCAAGTCCTCCCCCGGCGACCCGGTCTTCTTCATGCACCACGCCTACATCGACAAGGTGTGGTGGGCGTGGCAGAAGGCGGACCCCGTCAACCGCATGTACGACATCAGCGGGCCGACGCTGAACCACACAGCCAACGTCGAGCCGGCTGGCGGGTGGCAGAATGCGACGCTGCATTACGCGCTGTCCTCGTTTGAGATCAAGCCTAATGTCACGATCGGCACGGTCATGAACACCCAGGGTGGTTATCTGTGCTATGGCTATGATTAGGGGGGCGGTAGCTTTCGCTTTCTAGCCTGACGTTTGGCATTGTGGGCTACACTCGGACCATGTTGTGGATAGTATTTACTTTCGACTTTTCGATAGAGTTATAGATGAGAGTTTTGTGATTGTTGCGTGTGCATGATGTACATTTCCCAGTACCGAATCTTCAGTCCCCAATCGTGGCTCGTATAGTCTGATCATGTTACTCAACTGCCCCGGCCCATTCTACAGATCCTGCATCGCATGGCTAAGCCTCTGTCTCGAATGCAGGGCTATTCCTGAGATATTGCTGCAACGGTCACGTACCGGATTTCATATCGACAGACCACTGTCATGATACTATAGGTGCCCAGCCACGCCCTATCGCGCGATGCGGGCGGCGGCATCATAATGCCAAGACTGGCGGGAAAGACTTCATGCCTTCGAGTCTTCAAAAATGAAGATGTGCGGGGTAGCTTGCTGCTATGTTCGATGCTTGAAATCATGTTCCGAGTGGAGTGTTCAATGACGGGCTTAATCTCATTACAGATGATATTGATCTTGTGCTGAGTCCTGACAGTTTTCGATCACGGCTCTGGTCGCTGCAAACAAGAGTCATATATATATCAAGATACATAGTACAGTATGTATAAATGCACCGACATATATCATACATATCTATACACATACGGCTCACTCATTCCTTCCGCGTGTACGATGTAGCTTACGATCACGAAAGTGCTGCTTCTGATTCAGTACCAGCAGTCCCGCCTACGCATCCACCAGATACTTCCAGGTATATTCCGTATTGCGATGCTATTCGAATCACCAGAGCCATAATGTAAAGCGGTCCACTTGGTTGTTTTGGTTGAGCGTGATCAAGAACCTATGGAAGAACGCTTCGCTACAGGTGACGTATTCTTACCTCGCGCACCGCGAGGACGCAATCTGGAGTCATGGATCTAAGACTCCTGCTGTGCGGCTTTCGGATGAGAATCCGAGCCCCAGAGCACCTCTCTACACCTTCCACTCCTTTTTGCAGGTTATGACCGGCTGATTCAGGTGTATAAACACATCTCGATTAAATTACTATCAACCTCAGAAGAGAAAATGTCTAAGTACAAGACGAGTCAAGACAAATCCCGCCTCCACTCCTTCCCGCCATTGCCTATCTCCTTCGCATAAAGTCTCGAAGGCCGGGGCTTTGAACGGAGTCAATGATCGCTGCCTTAAGCCGAGGCGGTTCCCAGAATGCCGACAGCCTGTTGGGGGTTAAGTCAGTACGGATGCGATCTTACTCTCTGCACGGAGGGCTCGCGGAGCTATGGGCGGTTGCACTTACGGCGGTGAGGTCGTTGGCGACGTCGTTGAGAGCAGTCACGTCGACGTTCTTGACGATGTCGTCGTTGTTCAGGATACCATCGTGGGCGACGCTGATAGGAAGGGTCTGGGTCTGCTCAACGTTCTGGCTGTTGTCCTGGGGGTTGTTCGAGTTGACGTTGGAGGTGACGTCGGTGCTGGAGCCGGGGGCAGTGGGCGCGGCGACGGCGAAGGCGGCAAAAAGGCCCATGAGGAGAACGGTAGGCTGCATCTTGAAAGTGGTGGAGAGAATTGAAGCGTAAGCTTGAAAGTGGGCTTGGTTTGGTAGTTGGAGTAGGCTGGAGAGAGTGAGAGATGCTGTTGGGATGATTGAGAGAGGTTGGCCCGGTGGTCGGGGGATTTATATACCTTTTTTTCAGGTCTTCATATCTCGCACAATCGACTCATATCCAGTGAGCACCGTTCACCATTCACTCGTTTAGGAGATTCAGGGGTTGATGTGATCGATTCGATTGATGGTGTTGCGTTAATTGCAGGTCAGGGTCCATGCAGGACGGCTCAATCGTCGCAGGCGAGGTGGATGGTGCCTGTTGATCGAAATGAGGAGCCGACAATCAGACTTCAATGAAAAGGTAATGTTAGTCGAGAATATTGCCTCTCCTGCAGTAAACCGATAGATGCCTGCCGCTCGTCGCTCACATGCCAGATTGGTGCAAATAAAATGACTGGGCGGCTGATAGGTCACATGCGGCCGAACTGTAGGCCAGGGGCTCGCAGGTCTCGAGAGGCCTCGAACCGTGCTTTGCATAGGGGGTTCTCTTGGCTTTGAGGGATGGTTCGGTTGAGGACTGGGGTCGAGCAGCCTTGATCAATAAATGGAGTTGTACCCTTGCATCATGCAGAATCCCGCCGTGTTAAGCTTATTCGGGGTTGAACGAACTCATCTGTGGAACCATATCATATTCCGCCGCTCTTTTGGTCCAACCATTTCTCCCCTGGCTGGAATTACACTCCCGGGTTAGCTACAACACCACTTGCCTACCGGTAGAATCTTACTCGGTGAATGAGGCCCTGATGTAGATAAACTCGGCTTGGGTAATTATGTCCAAGTATGAGAAATGTTTGTATGATTTTGGTCCTCCGAACAGAATAATTCATTCAAACACTTGTCGACCCCGTAGGAATTTTAAGTTAATCTCTTAAAATGCAAGTTCGCTGGCTGGGATGGTAGTATTGTCTCATGCCCTTCGACTGCTCCTACAGGCCACTGTCTCTGCAAGAGCAAGTATGCAATATTGACTCGAGACTTCGGCTATTGGTGGCTACGCATATCGTATTCCCAACAATGTCGAACTAGTTGTTGTGATGCCAAGACTCTATTCTGAAGTCCACACTCCACTCCCACTCCCACCGAAAGATTTTTACTGGGTACAAGCAGACACTCCGCCTGAGGCATTTCGAAACAGCATTGTTCTGATGTTTGTCGGAAAAAAGCTGTGTTGTCGCCAATTTAGGCCTCCTTTGATATCTCCATTCCTCGATGGTCTAACGGTCATGATTTCCGCTTGTCAATCCCTTCCGGGAACAAGCGCGGGAGACCTGGGTTCGACTCCCAGTCGGGGAGATTCTTTTTGCTTTCTTCCCTTCGCTCCCCGTAAAAGGAGGTATGCTTTTTGCCAAGCCGTCCCTACAGTAAAAATATCCAACTTCCATGCAATTGGGCGCAAACACCATACAGATCACACCGATGTACATCCCCAGCCCCATAATGACCTTCAGGTCGTTGCCGCTCGGATGCTGCTGTGTCACATCCATACCCTGGTTTCCCCTATTCACCAAGTTCACTTCCCCCCTCCCTAATCCTTCTCTTTTGCTTGTTCTCGGACATGAGAGAGTTGCCTTCATCGGCCAAACATCTCTTCGGCATGTCAGCAGTCGGTCAGAGAAGCAATAGGTAGACACACAAAGCTGATTCAACTGCGATAAATCCATAGCATCAAGCTTCACCGTCAAGCGCTAACAGAAAGTGGCTACATCGAGAGTTGCACGGTTCCTGAAATGCAGCATCTGGGACGACGAACGATGTGTAACCTTCCGTACGCTAGTTATTGCCGTGGTAGCCCGCATCTCATGGCCACCAAGACCAAGAAAAAATGCTTGGCTTCACATCTGAGCTCTTTCCCAAGAGGTTCTAGCTATTTAGCCAAGTTAAGGCGATGTTGTGCTTGTGTACCCTTCGCTCTGGCATTCTCAGCGGCTGTGCTTGGGTTCTTGGATGGGCTCTTAGAACGCGTGGCGCCTGTGCTCCAGCTGATCAGTCACCACCCAAAGCTTTTGGATCGTCAAGCCGTGAAGCCTCGGATGACATCTTCCGCACGGACGATTGCAAGGCACGATCGGAAGGACAGACAGACAGCTTTGAATGATGCACACTCTGCTCTCATCGACTGTTACTTGCCCCGCGCTCGCGAGGTCAGATCAGAGGATAACTGGACGAGGAAATTAACCCCACCAGTTAATGAGAGGCTGACTGCACCTAGTCGACGGGCTGAACGTCCAGGAACCATGTAATCCTACCCCTCTAATCACGCTTGTGAATGAGCGCTTGCGGAACTGTCGCCGGCTTACACGCCGTCAGCTCGGGCTAGCCCGCCGGATACGAGAAGTGGCTCGCTTTCTTTGTTCTCATGACTGCCAGTGAATGGTTTCCAAAAAAGCGCCAGCTTACATCACTTAAAAATGGCTCTTCTCGCAGTAGGGGCCAGCAGAGCTGTCTCGTACAGCAGCTAAGGAGATCAGCTTTCATCAACCTGAACCACTCCCTCCTCCCTCGCAACCATCACCCTTCCGCTACCGCACCATCATCAACACCATCATCACATCTCTGCTATCATCATGACCCCAACCCTCTCCGCAGGCAACCCCTCAGTCTGGTACCGTCCCGACTACGGCGCCCGCCTCAAGCCCTCGACACGATTCGTCTACAACAGCTGGAGCGAGATCCCGGACGAGGAACTCCCCTCCCACCTCCACAACATCGTACGCGACTCTCCCTTTCTCCTCCCAACCACCATACCTTACCTTCCACCCCCACCAACCAAACTGACCATCAAAGCGCAACCGCGCCTGGCCGCTAGGCAACTACCCCTGCATAGGGATGTGGATCTTCCTCCTGCCAGGACTAGCCGGCTTCCCCGAATTCGAGACCCTCGTCGCGCGCGCGCGCCGCTTACCGGACGAATCATCCGTAATCCTCGACCTCGGCACAGGACTAGGCCAGGACCTCCGCCTGCTGGCTGCCCACGGCGTCCCGACCACGCGCATGGTTGCCCTCGACCGCGAGCCCCGCCTCTGGCAGCTGGGGTACGAGCTGTTCCGCGACGAGGATCGCATGCAGGCGCGGTTCATCGAGGGGGACTTCCACAGCATGCCGGACGCGGCGCTGGCCCCCGTGCAAGGGAACGTCGATCTGGTGATCGCGGCGCAGTTCCTGCATCTGTTCAGCCGGGCGGGCCAGCGGGCGGCCTGTCGGCGGATCGTCGCGCTCTCGAGGCCCGGCACCACGGTCGTCGGGTTTCAGCAGGGGCGGCGGAGGCCCGTCGAGTATGTTCGGCCGTGGGGGGTGACGTTCTATCAGAATCGCGAGTCTTTCGTGAAGATGTGGGAGGCGGTGCAGGCGGAGACGGGGACACGGTGGGAGGTGGTGGTTCGGGAGGTCGAGTTGGAGGAGTGGGGGATGGAGGAGGAGGATGTCGCGTGGATGGAGGGGGTGAGGGTGGGGATTGAGTTTGTGATTACTCGGGTGGCGTAGGGGTTGACTTTGAGATGCCGTGTGCTGGGCTGGGCTGGGTCGAAGATTTTTCGGTGTGGTGTAGTTGGATAGAGGGGTGCTGAATATTGGTATGATTAATGAGGTACGATTTTTATGAGACTTGTCGGGTTTGGAGGGTGGTATTATGGTGCTGGGATGTATCGGCTGCAACGTACGGACTGTGATGCTCCTTCCTCCTTTTTCTGACTAGGGGTTGCTTGTCACATCTTCATGTCTGGCTAATCACCTTGGTGGCTTGTCTACAATCAACAGACTCGGTGATCTTCCTCTGGGGCATGAAGAGATCTGACCAGGCTCGCTTTTGAGGTATTCGTAATTCGCAGAAGAATGCATGTAGGTCGAAGATGTTTGAAGCAATACAATTGTTGATCACTATGAATGTGTTGTGGCCGAGACACAGGATAGTTCTCAAAACACCGCCATCTCGACACACTCTGGCATCTCCAATAGACCTCAATGCTGAAGAAATCCTCACCATGTCTACCCCAGACTGGCGTTAACCATCGGAGCGATACCATTCTCTATCGCCTCAGAAGACCGCCAGTCCGACCAGGTGTGATCAAGGAGTCCTAAGAATCATTAGCTTGAGCGAGTCAGCATTGCAACGCGGAACAACTCACCCCATGTCTCGTCATAATCCTGAGTTCCTTCCCGGATGTAGTAGCTACCCGCCAGAACCCAGACCATCCACCCTGCGTGCACACTTGGGATCCACTCCGCGAGGCACGAAGCATACACCCCGGTGTACGTGGTATCGTCCTGCGCGTAGCCGAACTCGGTCAGGACGACGGGCAAGACATTCTTGATACTCGAGTCGTCCGTCTCCAGCGCATTGAAGCCGTCGCTCAGCAAGCTCGACGACAGACTGCTGCAGCTCGAAGCCGAAGAGTCGTAGTTGTGCAGCTCGAGGACGATTTTGTCCGCGAAATCGAAGTCCGTCTTCAGGAAGACGGTGCCGCTCCCCAGATCAGATGCGGTGGGGATCGGCGACAGGGTCACGTCGAAGTTGAGGCCCGAGAAGAATATTAGAAGATCCGGATTGGCGCTGTGCACCTGCTTCGCGTTCTCCACCATGTTGGTGTACCAGTCCTCCCAGTTGTAGGAGGTGCTGGTCAGGGTTGCGTTGTCGGCCGGAGTGCGGAGCTCGTTCCGCATGCCTATGCTCTTGACCGCTGGAAGTGATTTGACCTGTGCTTCTTGTCAGCGAGGATGAGGTTGTACATCAATCTTCGAAGGGACCTACGTGGGTTGCCATGTAGGTCCATGCACGATGCCAATTTGCAACGTTGAAGTAGGTGTCCCCGAACCAAGCGTTGCCGTCGGTAGTGCTGCAGCACCACATGGCCTTGGAGATGTGGTTGTCAAGGTGCACATAAATACCTTGCTTGTAGCATTCATTGGCCACAGCATCGTAGACCTTCGGTTATTAGTATCCAGTGCTGCAGTAGGTCGGGCCGTTGCTCACCTGCAACCTAGTAGTTTCGTCATTAAATTGAGGATTATTGCTGATGATGTCGTTGTACACAGCTGTTCCATTTGTCTCTCCCAGGGCATTGATTAGAGAAGTCTTGATCGGAACATCTGCGCCGTTGTCATAGATGTCGTCGATCATCTCAATGGCGAAGGTCAGGCGGATGACGTTCATGCCCAGACTCTTTATCTTGCTGACGATGTATTCGATAGACTGGTACTGCAGCCCTTCCGGCAACATGGCCTCAGCTGCACCAGGCCAGTTCACCCCGGCGTAGGTAACATTGTTGCCGTCGGAATCAACAATCCATCGCCCGGAAGTAGAGAGAGGCTCAGATGAGATTGCATTGGCGACCAGGGGTCCTGCAGCAAAAAGTAGACCGAGCACTCTTGGCAGATACATCCTGACGGTGCTTGTACGATAGAGAAAAGAATCGGGAGGAGTCTGTGGGCGCCGCAGAGAACTATCGCCTTTTATCATGAGCTTTCTCGCCCCGACGCTCATACGATTGGCCCGCATACACCCATGTCAATAAAGGTCGCATGATTGACCCATTTTCACCCATGCTCCGGTCTTGCTGATGTTTCCATATTGTCCGGGTGTTGTCGAGTGCTATTCGTGGACAACCTGATTGTGCCTGTCGTCAAGCGGGGAAATAGACTGCCTGGCGCATCATGTAGTCATTGATCCCCGCATTGTAAATCACCGAAATACGTGACATTCGTGCCCTGAGGGCAAGAATAGCCCACACAGCTGCTTCCCATGCACGTGCTCCCAAGGTTCCTGAAGTGAATAGCCTAGGTTAACATCAACTCAGAGAATAGTCAAGGACGTCCAGGAACCATATCGGATAATTTTGGAGGATGATGTCATGGTGTTCTTCAGCATCTCTGCAAGTCCTTCTGCCCATGCTTGTTGATTAGCTGATGTAACCCTGCAGCAACTCCCCGTCCCCGCATGAAGAAAACGCACCAATGGGTTGAATGGTGCAATTAGCCGATGCTTACCCCGCTTTGCGACCAGAGCTTCTCCTGGGCATCCCGATTGTCCGTGGTCGCCGTGCTCGCATGCTGAGGCCGATCATAAGTCCTTTGGGATAATTCGGCCGTGGAGCAATTAGGATCATAAGAAACTTGAATTATTATAAGCAGGATCACCCTCTCGATGGCCAAGTCGCCAAGTCTAGAAGTGGTTCAAGCTTCAGCCAGAGGAGGATAAAAGTAACAGCATATTGTGTTTGGAGAGATGGGAGATGGGAGATGAGCGATGAAGAGTCGGGGGAAGTGAAAAGGGGCAGTGTGACCTGTTTGTCTGATGTGTCTGATTTGTCTACAATGCAAACATCACCTCTGCTTTGACATTGTTTCAACACTGCAAAGGCTTCACCTTCTTACTCCTCACATCATCTGTTATGACATGGTGCATCGCTTGGGCATCTTGAATCGACGATTTCGTTGAAGTTCAGACGTCGACATGAAGCTAGAGCAAGAAGTTATTCTTTGCGCGGGACTTCTGGTAAAGTTAAAACTTCCATTTCATAAATATGCATTCACTAAGCAAAACTGACCGATTCCAAGATCAAAAGGAAGTGAGCCTTGCCAATCTGGCTAATGAGCGACCGTGTCTTACTGTTTCGCAGCTTATCGGATCTCACAACATCACAACAATGCATCTTCATCTCTGGTGGTTCGATCTTTCGATCCACGAAGCATCCGCTTTCTTCTGTGCAGCTCATCCCGCACTCGCAACGATAGACATGGTCTGCAATCATACCAGCCATGCAGCTAATTTACAGCTTGCCCAATAATGCAGCTCTTATCGTGTTCCCGCCTTGTGGCAGTCGGTTTTCCGATCATACTCCGGTGGCAACAGCGAATGACACCGGCCCCGGAAGCTTAGCTGCAGATAACAAACCCGCTAACCGAGGCTAGAAACGTCAACAGTCCAATCGTCCTCTGCAACGGCCAGATAAGCGGCATGACCCCAATAGACGTTTGCCCAGGATCACGCAAGGATGCTTGGATGCCACCGCTTCTGCGTTTGTTCATCAAGGCACCAAGAGCCTATCCGACACCACCACCAACCAATCAAGAAGCCCATCGAGGTTCGTCTGTCGGCGGTGTGGGCTTTCATGTCGCAATCAAATCTCGCATGGTACCTACTTACCATGCTTGCAAGGGGTCCACTGCTCATGAGGGGCTTTTGCCATGTTATTTAAAGTCGCGTTGAACGGCTCGATTTCGGCCAGCTCGTTCCCAGAGCGCGCTGACCAGACTTCACGATGCTTGTTCGCCAGCTTACGGTGGCTCTGGCCCTCGCGGCTTTCGCCAATGCTCTTCCCGCAACAGTCAAGCATGTCCTGCATGAAAAGCGCGACCGACACTCTTCGGACTGGGTCAAGAGGGCCCGCGTCGACAGCCATGCTGTCCTGCCTATGCGCATTGGGCTGGCCCAGAGCAATCTGGAGAAGGGGTACGATTACCTCATGGAAGTCTCCCATCCGGAGTCTGCTCGGTATGGCCAGTACTGGACAGCGGATCAGGTTCATGACATGTTCAGTCCCTCCGAAGAAGCCGTCGAGGCAGTGAGAGAATGGCTTGCCTCTGCTGGCATTGATCTTTCTCGAGTTGTGCACTCCGACAACAAGGGCTGGCTGGCCTTTGATGCTTACGCACACGAAGCCGAGAACCTCTTGAAGACTAAATTCCATGAGCACGAGAGCGCCAGCAGTGCGAGTATCAGAGTCGGATGTGACAGGTGTGAATGGCGCTTGTGAGAGGCATACCATTAGCTAATCTGTCTCTAGTTACCATGTCCCCGAACACATCCAGCACCACATCGATTACATCACACCCGGGGTCAAGCTCACTCCGGTGGTCAAGAAAAGCAAGAAGGTCAAGCGCGCGTCGCAGCTCGGTCATGCTTCCAACGTGAAGGCTGTCACTGGCGATGAAATCATCTCCAGCAAAGCCAAACTGCTGCCGACTGAGCTGCAAGGCTGCGGATCCAACATGACCCCCACGTGCATCAAGGCCTTGTACCAGATCCCCGATGCGACGAAGGCGACAAAGGGCAACACCCTGGGGCTGTATGAGCAGGGCGACTACTTTGCCAAGGCCGACCTCGATCTCTTCTACAAAGCCTATGCTCCTTGGGTTCCCCAGGGCACGTATCCTATCCCAGCGCTCATCGACGGAGCCAACTACTCTGTGCCGACTGACAGCTCCTTGAACACCGGTGAATCGAACATTGACATTGACATGGCGTAAGTAAAATGCGATGATTCAGGATGCACGGAACTAAGACAATCTATAGCTACGCCTTGATCTACCCACAGCAAGTCACCCTGTATCAAGTCGACGACCAGTACTACGAGCCGCGTGAAGTCGCGACTACCAACCTGTTCAACACGTTCTTGGATGCTTTGGATGGCGTATGTCTGACCCTGCCCCTCTCGCGGCTCTAGCTAACTCTTCCAGTCCTACTGCACCTACAGCGCATACGGGGAGAAAGGCAATGACCCGGACATCGACCCCGTCTATCCTGACCCCAACGCTGGCGGATACAAAGGTATGTTCCTGGTGCCGTATTCCAACAGCAAGGAAGCCTAACAGTACCACAGGCAAGCTGCAATGCGGCGTCTACAAGCCCACGAACGTCATCTCGGCATCCTACGGCCAAGCCGAGAAAGACCTCCCGGTCGCATACACCAAGCGCCAATGCAACGAGTTCCTGAAGCTCGGCCTGCAAGGGCACTCGATCCTCTTCGCCTCCGGCGACTACGGGGTGGCCTCCTTCGCCGGGGACGGCGGCAACGCGAACGGGTGCCTGGGCCCGGACGCGAAGATCTTCAACCCGCAGTACCCGTCCAACTGCCCGTACGTGACCTCGGTGGGCGGCACGATGCTCTACGCGGACCAGACCTACGAGGACGCGGAGAGCGTGATGCACGTGAACCTGGGCGGCACGGCCAGCAACTTCAGCTCCTCGGGCGGCTTCTCCAACTACTTCCCGCAGCCCGAGTACCAGAAGAAGGCGGTCGCGACGTACTTCAAGCGCGCCAACCTGACCTACCCGTACTACTCGGAGCTGGAGGTCGACCTCAACACGACCAAGGGCCTGTACAACCGCATCGGGCGCGCGTACCCCGACGTCGCGGCCAACGGCGCCAATTTCCGCGCCTACATGGGCGAGGAGCTGTACCATTTCTACGGGGCGAGCTTGGCGTCGCCACTTTTTGCCTCCGTGCTGACGCTGGTGAGTTCTAGACCCATGAGAGACCCGCAATGCTAATTAGGGGGGGATGGGGAGGAAATGGCCACCGATGTTCCAGCCCCGAACAGAGCTAATTTTTTTGTATTTCCTAGATCAATGAGGAGCGTCTCGCGGTCGGAAAGGGCCCCGTGGGCTTCATCAACCCCGTTCTCTATGAGCACCCGGAAGCCCTGAATGATATCACCAACGGCACCAACGCCGGATGCGGTACCTACGGCTTTAGCGCTATCCCCGGGTAAGTCCAGCCCACAAGCACTCTATCGGACACAGATCACGAGAGTTTACTAATACTGTAACCGCCACAGATGGGATCCCACTACGGGGTTGGGCACGCCCAACTACCCCAAGCTGAAGAAGCTGTTCCTGTCTCTCCCGTAGAGATCGAAGTCGCAGCCACAACTTCATGACTGAACAAACAAAGCTCAATCGAGCACACGAGCTTACAAACCGCCAATTGCTATTGCTCCCCTCGCATGTCTCGTATTCCAGAAACCTTCCCTAGGCAGAAAACAAATGTCTCAGCCCCGTCCCATGGTCTGATCGGAGCGAGTGGCACTTCTATCGATCCTTCCACCCAGAAAACCCCCAAAGTCAATGTACATAAGCTATTGAACTTAATGCACGAGCAAGAAGGGTCTTGACTCTTGAGTCTCCTGACATGACTAGCGAGCAAGTGCCACCGCGCACTCATGTCGCCCACGTGGCATGTGTAGGGATCGAAGATCCGCTGGTGTCTAGCTTTAGTCAGTGTGGTAGGTGGTCCAGGCACCTGTGAGCAACAGAAAGCATGACGATGAAAAGTTTGTGCTTTCGAACAAGAAGCCCCGGGGCGAGACCTAGGATTCGACTCGAAGTCTGGATACAAGAAAACCTCGCCGCGAAACCAGCCTGCAATTTGATATAACTGCACCCCCTATTCTCAACGATTTTCCAAGGAACCAAAGAAAACTGTTGGAATATGGGATCCGACCCAAGAAGACAGATAAGATACCCGAGCGGACCATGGCAGATGCAAAAGGGACCAAGGAGCGGATACGGGAAGCCCCGGACCAGTTAACACCACCAAGCGTCCGTCCTCGTACCGAACCCTCACACCAAAGCAAGGATGAAGAACACGGCCGAGGGTTAGAGCTCCTGGAGAAGAGAGCTTCTTTCAACACGCCACAAACCACTGCCTGTAGGTCAGGCCAGAGCAGAACGAACAAACTGCGTCGTATCGAGGCCGCACTGCACACAACATTGTAGGCTTGAGTCATGGCGCCACAAACGACACAAATCTCAAACTCTGGGTCTGGTCCAGCATCAGACCGAGTCATCCGCCAAGGCTCTCGAACTCCCCCCCCCAGCGATGCTTGACTCGGGGTTGAATCCAGCTAACTTACTCGCCTCGAGGCGCCTCAACAGAACCCAGTGCTACCTCTCGAGTCATCAGTCAGCTCCTTGCCTCCAGATTCAGATTCAAATTCAGAATCAGAATTGGGGCCAGGATCCAAAACCAACCGAACTTGGATCCTCCCGAGTCGTCATCTCCCATATCGATGGTGAGACAGTCCAAAATCTCCAGGTTTTACCTCCACATCGACCTAAATTTTGGGCAAGGCGAATGGACCTGGCCGGCTTCGGAGTGGAAAAGTGCTTCCGCTTAGGTAAGTATGTACATTTTTGTGTATATCCAGTACCCGGTACGTTGTTATGACCGGCGCCCGCGGGTATTTCCGCTCAGTAGCATGCTACATTAAAAAAAAAAGAATGAATGAAAAAAAAAAAAAAAAAAACGTGCAGACTGCAGGGTTTCCGGCCTGGGCATAAGGTTTGTTAGCGCTCGGGCGTAGAACCCGGTTTTGTTCGAAGAGCCGAAAAGCCTGGTTCTCAAAAGTTGGGGAACCGAAGAAGTCTGCACGAAAGGTGTTTTCGACTCTGACTTTGTAGTCTAGGACTCTAGGTGCATCTTGTGTGGGCGGACGGGCAGGCTATTTCGTGTTTGAGGTTGGTTTGAGGAAGAGGAGTTTGGTAGCGAGCTTCCGTGTTGTTTGAGGTTGGAAGATCAGGGGCTCGACTGTGAGTGATTGCATATGTAAGGACTTTGGGAGTAGGATTCGCTTGTAGGTTTAGTTGGGGCATTGAAACTCTTTTGTTAAGCTCGTTACCTGTTCCTTGCATGCACCTCCATAGTTCTTTGTCCAAAAAAAAAAGCACGTTTTGCCCGGTCCCAGAGCCATGGATTGAGGTGGGTATGTGTCTCTTCTGCTTGACGAGGGTCTGGCATGCAGAGCCCATGTGTGATGTGTGTGTGCACATTTTTAGAGTTCTTCGCTCAGATTTTGCTGGCGGCAGGACCCGGATGTAGCCGGATGGTAAAGTTAAATTGTTTACTCGTGCGCAAGCAATCCTCATGCAACCAGTGCATCGGGTCAAGGGTTACAAACCGACACAAGGGATACGGTTCGCTTTTTGAGTCGCATCGTGTTTCCGTCTCAAGGAGCGAGGCAGTAAGGATAGAGTACCCGGCTGCCCTGATTATGGGGATCGATCGTATTTGATCACTTCAGATATTCAGATCGGCATCGCGCGGGATTGCCTGACCCTCCCCCCACGCCAAGACTTTCACCGGGCAATGGAAATTTGGGCGGATTGATACGAATGGCACCAAACCATCAGCGCCTCACAAAGTATGATCTGCTTTGGCCTAGAGGTAGTCTGGCGTCGAGAGCACGCCGGATCGTGGATATGGCGCTGCACCAACGAAGTTAAGCCCTGCGATATACTTTCGACTAGGACGCAAATGTGCTCTGGTCCGTGGAGGACTCGACCCGATTTTGTGAGTACACTGAGTTCAGCGGACTGTTGGGAAGACTCAGAGAAGAAGAACACAATGCGAGGTGAAGAAAGCATGAGGAGTCACGATAGACTCGAGGCTGAATCAAACACCAGCCGCCGGCGGCTCAGACCGGAAATTAATGCCTGAGGCTGGGTAATAAAGCCCTTCCTTCCCGTCACAATCGAGCTGAAAATAGGCATGGAAGTAGTCCTCCATATCAATCAGTAGGGGGGGGGGTGGCGAACAGGGCTGGGCTAAGATGGGCTCAATCGGACTCTGCGGAAGTGCTGCGCATCGGTTAATTAAATACACAGAGCAGACCAGACAGCTGAGGAGCACCTGAAGGGCCAAATTTAGCTCTGGGCCGATCAGCTCCAGAAGGGGATCGATCTCACACGAGGTACCGCGGTCAATGCTGCCGTTGCCGCACTGGTGACTACTGGTTCTGGCAGGAGGTCAACCTGGAGATACTCATAGTACATATATTAAACGAGATCACCTTCCCCTTCCCCCTCCCCCTCCCCCTCCCCCTCTGCAATAACCATTTGGAGATATGATGCTGATCATCGGAGACACCGTCCGCCAGCCAGCACCTCTATTCCCTGTCCAGTATATTTACTTATGAAAGGATTGTCTTGGTGGCACTGGTGCCGGAGACTTTTCCCTTTCGGAGATCTACTTCCGCGGATCAACATTGCCCCGGATACCTTAATGAAGGGGGGGGCACTAAACCCTTCAAAGTAGTTGCAATGGCGAACGGTGGCCTTCCAAGTTCGGACCTCGGGAATGAAGTCTGGATCCTTCATCTATAACAAACAGTCCGGCAGCTGCTTAACATGGCTGTCCCACTTGGCAACCACACGAGGCGTGGATGTAGGAGATGTGGGAACAAGAGATGTGGGAGCAAGCGATGTGGGAGGGAGGGGGCGACGGCAAAGGAGGAGGACGATCCTCGGGTTGAGATTTCTAGAAGGCCACGTGCGTGGCAGCAAGCCACCGAGCCAGGGTTTGGTGATCCTTTTTGTTTTTCTTGCGGGGTACAGGCACAAGGTTGTGGTAGGCTACAGTATTAAACAGCCAAAACAGCCAAAACCCCAACCGGATGGCGTCATGGGAAGGTATCTCAGTCAAAAAGAGTCATTTCAGCCGACAATGGGGACTCAGGAAGGATGTTCAGGTTGGTCTTTTCCTTATGTACAGAAAGAATTATTCTGGGTCACCGGTCGATGATTCTACCTTGTTAGTGGAGTGGGGGGGGGGGGGGGTGACCAAGTAATTGGAAATCCTTTGGATTGGGCCAGACACGCAGCGTGCGGGACTCAGCACAGCGTCTTGTAAGTTGTCGGGCAACACAAGCCGATCGCCGCCACGGAGGTTAAGCACCAAAGAGGCTTAGCGGGGGTGTTCCGTTTCACTCCCACCCACGGGTCCCTGCGCACATACTCATTGCTACGGAGTACTATCGAGTAGATCGATGGTAGCCCACCACACTCAATCTTAAATCGATGGCAGGGCAGACTTTTTTTTTTTTGACCAGTTTACAAGTTGATTAGCATTTTTTTTAATCAAGGTTCTCTTAGTCAGGACTCAGGACTATGTGCAATAGAGTGATCTGGGCCCCAACTAAGGTGGGCATGTATACGATACGATTCATGCACCCGTGAAAATGTAGGCTTGGTTCGGTGCTTGCTCAACCGTTGATTGACGTTTCAGGTGGTGTGTGTGTGTGTGTGTGTGGACTCGAAGAGAAGGTTTGGACCGAGGGCTGTCTTAATAAGGGGTGTTAAGACTGTCTCTTCCCCGAAGTTCATCCACTTGTAATAATGAATCACTGCCGCTGTCGCAACGTGCTACTACTGCTGTCTCGTTGCACCTGACAAAGAAGCCTGTCACCATGAAGCTTCACCACGGTTTGTTGTTCCTGCTGGGAACTCTTACCACCGCCGCCCTCGCAACCAACTATACCACCGCCGACTTCTCAGAATGTGTCGTTAGTACCCATTTTCCAAGTTGCGCCTGGACTTGGTGTTTTCTCACACTAATCTCTCCTCCCTTCGGCAGGTGTCTTACTGGGAGCAAACCTACCCAGATTGCCCAATCACCGACACCTCATGTGTTTGCACCAAAGAGTCCAGCCTGATCGCCTACGCTTCAAGCGAATGTACTCCCAAGGAGTATTTCCGTGAGTTCCTCGACTTATCATGCCATCGTGACATCTCGCATGCTGATACCTCGCAGACGCCAGACACCTCTTCGAACAAGAATGTAATATTCGCCCTCGCGCCGGTCCTTCCCTCGTGGACCCGTCCGTTCTTGCGCCGCTCGTTCTTGCGACCGTCTTCTTCGTCATCCGGTTATGGGCCAAGTTCCAGGGTCTTGCGGGAGGCTGGGGGCCGGACGACACTACAATTGCGCTCTCATTTGTAAGACTCGGTCGCGTACTGGATCTCGCGCTGGCGGCTCACTGATAACGTCTTTCAGGTCTTTGGTGTTGTCGAATATGCCATGTACGACAAGAGTGAGTGACCTCCCCTGAGTTTCGACGGTTTGTCTATCTCCTAAATTGACACCGCATCAGTGATCTACTACGGCTTTGGCCAGAACATTTGGGACGTCCCGTTCGACGACATCACGAATTTCTATAAGGTGTGTGAGGTATACTAGTGCGCTCGCGGAGTAACACTGACGGATCTCCCCACCACACAGCACTTCGAGGCGCTGGCGATGGTCTACAAGACGCAAATCTCGCTCGCCAAGATCTCCGTCCTGCTCTTCCTTCTCCGCATTTTCCAGTCGCGCGTTTTCCGTACGTTTGCCTATATCATGATCGGCGTGAACGCTTCGATCGGCATCACTTTTGCGCTGGTCGACCTGCTCCGGTGCACCCCGGTGCACCTGGATTGGGATGGATGGGCCACGAACTACGCCGGCGGAACCTGCATCAACTTCATTGACGCCATTCTCGTGCACTGTATTGTGAACATTGTCGCCGACGTCATCATCGTCATCCTGCCCGTGTACGAGGTTTCGAAACTGCAGCTGCCGACCGGCAAGAAGATTACCGTGGGAATGATGTTCATGATGGGTTTGATGTGAGTGGAATTATGTGGCATTCAGAATCTCTATGTCCATATACATATACTGATGGGGAAATGCTCTCTAGTTTGACAGTTGTTGCGATTATTCGGCTGGTTGTCTTCTGGAACCACCGCTGGGGCGTGAACCAAACTGGTAAGCCCATCATCTCACCTTCCTTCACCATCGGTAGCAGAGAGTGTGACACTGACTCCGCATAGCTGGTCTCCTCCCGCTCATTCACTGGTCTGTCATCGAGTCGCAAATCGCCATCCTCACGACGTGTCTCCCCGCCGCCCGAGCGGTGGCCGCCCACCACATCCCGGGGATGAACAGCCAGAACTCGCGACGGACCTACGCCTCGCGCGGCCCTTCCTTCATGTCCAAGGGCCAAACCAACCCCAACAGCAAGATCTCCAAGTCCGTCAATTTTTCAGTTGATTATGTGTCCCGAGGACCGCGCGATGACAACAGCGAGGTTCATCTGGTGGAGATGGACGGGAAATACACTCGGGTCTGAAAGGAATCCCCGATACTTTTACTTACTTACCATCCATGAGGAACGGTGTTATGGAGTCATGAAGGGGTTTTGCTTTGTTCTCGGGTTTGTTTGATACCCTTTGCATTGAATACATCACTTCCATCCGGGGGGAGGCATCTGTCACCGGGTCGGTCTGTCAATCATTCAAAGATTTTTTTTTCTCATGTACCAATTCTTATCTACAAAGATCGAGTCGAAGATCGAGTCGAAGATCGAGTTGAACCCATTGTCATGAGTGTGTTTCCATGATGAAGTACACCTACAGATTTAATTCATCACTTCAATAATATCTCATCACACAAACTCTACTTTGTCTTCACAAAGATTTCATTGTTCAAAGCACAAAGGCTCGAGGGCGGAGACTCCCGCGGTGCAGCAACAAAGCGGCATAAGTTTAGTCAGATGCATAAATAGCCGCGTTGCCGTCGCATGCCAGGCCAGGCCCCGTTTCACTTTTCCCGCAACCCCATAAGATTATTTGGTTTGGTGAAACTGACGCGAACTTATCTCAACTTACCTCATCACGCCTTATTATCATCATGGCCGATCAAAAAACGAGTGAAGAACTTGCCAAGTCGCGCTGGGCTCCCCAAGGCTCCGACGAGCCATCCAGTGTAAGCTCCACCACTACCACCACCACCCCCACCACCACCACCACTCATCATCAGCATTCTCATGGTCGTGGTGGGACCCAGAATCGCCATCAAAAAAGGTCTTACAAAACCAAGTCTACTCCGCAGACGGTCCGGCCACCCCAGCCCGCCGTCACTGCAACCACCACTACCACCACCAACGGTACTACCATCACCGCCTCAGCCAGCAGCACTCCCAACGGGACGTCATCTGTACCACCCAACACGAACCCCAAAATCTGGACCCCGTCCCCGCGCCCTGCCCCCAGCAACGGCACGGCGCCGACGAGCACGAGCCCAACCCAGCACCACCAAGAGCAGCAGCAGCAGCAGCAACGAGCCGCAAGACTCCCGCGGGTGGTGGGCGGAGTGAGCTCCTCGCTCGGCGACGGATGGGAGAAGATCCCGACGCACCCGGAGCCGCCGACCCCGGAACCCTCCTCGTCCGCGCACAGCCTCCGCTCTGACTCCCAGTCGCCGACGAAAAAGAAGACGCGACCGATCCCCCCGTCCATCGCCGACGCCGTCGAGGCCCTCTCGCGCTACCGGAAGATCCGACGGCGGCTGGAGTGGAAGCTGCGGCACCTGGTGGACGGGTTCAAGCAAGCGACGAACCGCGACCAGCCGGCCGCGGAGCAGCTGTACGCGGAGCAGATGTTCAAGCTCGACTTCCACGAGTACTACGGGCTGCTGGAGCGGGCGCTGGTGTACCTGATGCTGGTGTGGAACATCCACGTCTCGCGGGCGCACCCTTCCACCAACACGAACAAGATCAGCTGGGCGGACGAGATGAATGGCGGTGGCAGTTCCACCCACCGCTACCACGCCAACGTCCTCGAGGCCCTCCGCGATCTCGACAGCCCGTACTTCGAGGTGCTGGGGTCCGGTGAGCGCTTCGCCCACCTGCAGAAGGCCAAGGAGCTGCGCAACCGCTGGAAGTACGCCGACATGGACCCCGAGGAGCGCGAGCGCGATCCCCAGACCTGGCGCGCGGGCTACAAGGCCTGGAAGGACGCGCTGACCCCGCTCGAGAGCTACGACTTCGATACCATCTTCGTCCAGATCCTGCAGGGCTTGGTCGAGGCGGCGGACATCGCCCAGCAGCGGGTCGATGAGCTCGGGCGCGAGGCGGGCCAGGATGATGCCGCGGCGGCCGCCGGCGGGAGCGAGAGTGACCCCGACGACTGGGACTTTTTGGTCGATGCGATGGATTGGGAGGCGGTTTGAGCGAGGAGATGATGATTTCTTCGGTACATCTCTAGTTTTTGTTAATATCATTGTAATCCGCAATTTCTTGTGGAGTTATTTCTTAATATTGTTGTTTTTTTTCCAGCGCTAGCGGGATTTGGATACCCTCAACATCACCAAGCATTTTGCCCTGTTTATTGCATTGTGAGGTACAATCCTTGTTTCATTTATGTATTTATCGATGCTATTTTTGGCCTTTCTACAGTTTTCCTTTTCTACAGTCATATATGCACATGAGCTTGTACATATTTTGTTCGCTGATACATGTTCGAGTGGACTATTCAGTTCGTGGAGGCGGACTCTCTGCTAGGCGACCATCCCGATAACCCGCCTGACAGTGCAGAGCATATTAGCCAGGCTGTTGAATGACCCCCAGCGTGTACTGTCTAAGTCAGGTCCGGGGTAATCAAAACACAAAAGATTCCGTCAAACCTCAGCACAAATATTAGTAAACGGAATTTACAAAGTTGAAACAGAAAAAGAAATTGGTTAATTACATAAGAATATGTCAAAAGATACCACCAATGAGGCAAGAAATGTAGTACAGAAACCTAGAACAACAACTTGAGGAAGTTTACCAAGATAATTCTTTTTTTTTTTTTTTTTTTTTTTTTAAAAAAAAGTAATCGATCATTATAATATCAATCTAGCCAAGTTCCGCGTACGGATTATACACGTATACATCAAGCACACACCCACGTAGCAGAGCAATTTACATACCGGGGGAACTCAAGGCACAGAATCACCCTTTCTTTGCATCCACGCAGAACCCCCACCCTTGGAGGAGTCGGTCCCTCAGCGATTCCCCATTGCCCTGCAGGACGGAAGGATCGTGGTGCACGGTGCACATGAGCTCCTTGGTGAGCTCGACGCAGGTCTCGAACGCGCCCTCCCGGCCGACGACCTCATCGTAGCTCCGGGGCGAGGCGAAATCGCCCGAGATGTTCGAGCGGATCACCCGCCCGCAGAAGGTGTCGATGAAGCCGCGCTCCACCACGCGCTGGGCCTCGGCGGAGTCGAACGGCCGCTCCGGGTCGCACGCGACGGACGAGTTCAAGTGCAGCACCATCAGCAGGATGACCTTCTCCGCCCTGTAGATGGCGATGTAGCCGGGCGGGACCCGTGGTGGACGGGAAACCATTTTTCTTTTTTTCACTGAGTACCGTACAATGTGCGTTTGCTGAGGTTGTGTGTTGTTGATGGGGTTTGTACGTGGGTTGTTGGGTCACTTGTGGTTTGGTGTATGTTGGGTTGAGGTATGTGGTGGGTTAAGGGGGGTTGAATTTATAAACCTTGGGGGGAGGGTCGGTCATTGGATGTGGATGATGGGGTGTGGGGATCCTAGATGGCACTCTCCGGCTATGAGCGCAGCGGTGATAAAGATCGGATGTGGTTAGAACAATGACCTTATCTTGCTCGTTGTCTTGGATCGAGGTTTTGATTTCGTTTTCTTTTCTGCCCATGCGCTCTGCTTCGATTATCACCACTAATGGTGGTGGTGAACCTTTGTTTCGAGGGTTTGCCCACTGTATGAGACTTTTTCAACTTTATCGTCGTATCTCTTCTGTGCATACCAGGCATACTAATATGATTTGATAGGCGTGATATTCGGGGCAAATAGCAAGTGCATTATTCCAATCATCTTACAAGCCTATAGTATGAACTACTTCCTCCATCTAATACTCAACACAAAAAAGGACTAGCAAAAGAGATAACCAAGCTTGGACCACGACTCTCGCCATCACTACCCCTCTCCCAATAACCACGATGAAAACCCCCCTGCATCTAAACAAAGAGGCTACTCTAAGCCGAGTAAGAGAACTGGCAGGTAACGCCCTTGTTGCGCGTGCCACAGTCCGAGTTCAGCTCCTTGGTCGTCCCGTCGAAGGAGATGTACCCGCCCTGCAGGTCGGAGGCGCTCGCATCGCAGCCCTCGCCGCTGTAGACGACGAGGCTGGCGCCGAGGCCGGTCTCGGAGGAGGAGAAGGTGTAGGGCTGGCTGCCGCCCGCGCTGTTGGTGCACGGGAGACCGAAGTCCTGCTGGCTCCAGGAGTCGTCGCTGGGGGTGCAGATTGCGATCTGGTGCGGTTAGCCACTGTTCATCCTGGACTGGCACGTTAGTTCAAAGAGGAGGGGTCATCGTACCCATGGCTCGGCAGCACCCTCGCCATTGGCCTTGTAGCTGCTGTCGCGGATGGAGGTGTAGTGGATGTAGGCGGTGCCATCGATGGCGGTGTCGCCCAGCTTGGAGAGCTCGCTGCACGACCAGAGCGCGGAGACCAGCTGGGGCCCGGTCAGGAGGGAGACGGCGGCGGAAATCAGGGCGGTGGAGAACTTCATTTTGTGGATTGATTGAATGGATAATGATAGACTTGAGTGAGTCAAAGGAGTGATTGCTTTGCTTGTTGGGGTGTATTGAGTGTGTTTCGTCGATGATGATGATGATGATGATGACCTGAAACCACAGATGACAGCCCCCTTTTATACCTTTTGAATCCACCATCTGTGACTCCTTTCTGTCAACATTGCAGTCTCCATACTGACGAGTGTATACTTGATGACCCATGTTGCCATGAAACCGACATAGTTCCGCATAAGCGAATGAGGTTAGTGGCTTAGTGCTGAACCGCCTGGGGGCGGTTTTGCGGGGAAGCATGACGCGTTCGACTGCTGCGCAGCAGCATGCAGCATCAAGCTTACCGTCTGTTAGAGACAAATGCTAGATAGCCTTGCACAAGATTTTTCCGGCAGGATTCCGGCCCCGATGCTTGCCGCTGCAGATGTCGACTGCGCCCTAATAGCCCCCATAGATCAACGTCACCCACTTTATCTCAGGATCGGCGGCCAATCTAACTTACGAGCTGTCCAATCAGATGTCTCAACAGAGCACTTCTATCGATCGTTGCATATTCGAACTGTTGTCTCGGGTTGTTCGGCCCTAAGGAAGTTCTTCACATGCTTGGGTCGCGGCGTGGGTTGACACCGTCCCTCTAAGCGACGTAATCAGATCTCGAGTCCTCTGGCAATCTAGATGAAAAGCTGTCCAACCATAGTTTATAACGAGTAACTTTTGCCATTAGACCTTCAAATTAAGCACTCTGGCCAATGAGCCTAATACGATATGTACACTAAGCATGTCCATCACACGCTGGACCCCCTGCTAAGCACCCCTAACACCGGTCGAATGTTCAATTCCCCGACAGCTCCTCAAACAACCTAGCCCATTCCCCAATATCCTCAATGAACCGCCTCGCAATGCCCTTCTTGACCCCACTTTCGACAAAAAACTCCCAATCTTGGTCCAAGTGCATCTGCTCGAGATCCAGCCCATTCTCCAACGCCACGTCGCGCGCCTTGCGAAACTCCGCCTTGAGCAGAGGAGACTGCACATACGACTCCTGCCACTCACAATAAGCCTTGACGGCGACATCCCGCAGCCCGCGAATCTTGATCCTCTTCACCGCCGGCTTGCTCGCCTGCTGCTGCTGCTGAGCCTCCGACTCCGCCGAAGGCGTATTCTCCCCTCCCTCCCGATCCCCCTCCCCCTCATCCCCCTCATCCTCCTCCCCCAATCGCGGCGGCAACTTGTCGCTCAAAAACGGCAGATTCGACCCGGGCGACGGCTCCCGCGGCGGCGGCGTCTTCTCGCGGGGCCCGTGGTTATGCAACGGATTGCGCACGCGCACCTGGTACAGGCCCTGGCGCGAGTTCCACAGGATGGACATATCGAACGGGCACCCGATGCGTTTGCGGGTGGGCCGCTTGCGGATTTTGGCGACGGAGGGCTTGAAGATGCCCCGATCGCAGATCAGGTACAGCGCCTTGAGCTGGTTTCCCCCGGTCTCCCCCTTGCTGGAGCGCTTCTTCACCAGCCGGTAGCCGTGGGACTCGGCGAAGGCCTGGGATTTCCCGAAGGCTTCCTCCCAGGTCACGTACCAGCCCTCGAGGGGTGGGGCCAGCTGCAGCATGGATGGGTCGGGTGGAGGGGGTGGCGGCGCGTTCGGGTCGGTGGGCGGGCCGACGGCGAAGCAGTCGAAGGGGGAGGAGGATTGCATTTGGGTCACGATGTATACCGTAGTTAAGGTTGGGAGTGTGGGGGGGGGTGCAAATAGAGGGGGTGTTTGTGATGGAAATGGGAGTCCAGGGATGGGATTTGGGGAGGTGTGGAAAAACGGTAGGTAAAGAAAACACCGCGATTCCCTTTGTGGATGGAATGGAAGTGGGCGGGGGAGTGGGCAGAATGCCACACCGCCCAATCGGAATTGGCTCGGCTATAAGTTGCCAAGGTTCGGAGATAATGTTTACATCGCATACTGTCCTGTTACAGTGCATTCATTCTTTACACCTCATGGTTTACAGTAAGTATATAGTATATGGCTGCCCACTCGCTTAGAGATGAGAAGTACTTTCAGCCCCGTTCGCTTTTTCTTCATGATCGTCACCATCAGGCACACTGCGGCGAGCATCTTCTGCCCTCCAGGCGCTATACCAGACGTCTTCCACCTGCAAATGCTGGTCAGTAGTTGTGCATACCATCAACCCCGAAACGGACCTGATAGTGATACAGCCAACGGATCCCATCACTCCATTCGTCTTCCATAATCTGGTTGGTAGCGTCGTCGAAGCTGGTGATCTTCTTGCGCGACACACTCGACCGAGCGAACCCGTTCAGGATATCGTACTATTCCCGGTTAGGTTATCAAGTAAGAGGTAAGGGGTAGTCTGCAGCGCTAATTCATCTCACCATCGCATGATAATGCGGCGTTCGGACCTGATCAAACAGGTCCAGCCCTTCACTTAGATGATGGCCGCGGTCGTGCGCCCACCGTATCGCACGGCTGAGCACGTAGGCGTCCTCAAAGGCGCAGCCAGCTCCTGTTCCTGTGACGGTCAGCTTCACACCACCGGATCTGGAAAACCAATGCTCAACCCGTACCGAATTCACCAGCTAAGGCTAATTATTCATACTGTCAGTACAAGTCACCACGTTGTGCTACTAACCTACGATGCGACGCGTCCCCGATCAACGCGATCGACCCATGCGAAACCACCCGGGGCAACCGCGGTCCATTGAAGAGCGCATACTTCTTCACCACCCTGATCTTGGCTATCGCCCGTTGGAGCATCGGGGAGAAGTTCTGATCGCCAATCAGGCCAAATCAGCTCTAGATGAACGATGACCGCATAAGCCACGGTCTCACCAACCTTGAACCGCTCGCCAAAGTCCTCCACCGAAGCATCCTGCCCCCAGCTAACCGGCGCAGCATCCTCCGTGAGCCGCACCCGCGCCGCGATCTCGTACACGTTGTTCCGGAGATTACACGTGAAGAGCCGGTTGTGCGGACCGTGCCAGAAGGTGTTCGCATCAGGGAAGCCGGGGATGCTAAGGATGTCGCTCGCGTCGGCGAGGGCCCGG